ACTTAGTTATACCCGATGTTCGGTGTACTTACCGTGACCACGATGTTCTTACTTAGTTCTTACTGATGTTCGGTGTACTTACCGTGACGACTGTTCTTACTTAGTTATACCCGATGTTCGGTGTACTTACCGTGACGACTGTTCTTACTTAGTTATACCCGATGTTCGGTGTACTTACCGTGACGACTGTTCTTACTTAGTTATACCCGATGTTCGGTGTACTTACCGTGACCACTGTTCTTACTTAGTTATACCTGATGTTCGGTGTACTTACCGTGACCACTGTTCTTACTTAGTTCTGATGTTCGGTGTACTTACCGTGACCGACTTAGTTATACCCGATGTTCGGTGTAGTTCTGATGTTCGGTGTACTTACCGTGACGACCGTGTTCTTACTTAGTTATACCCGATGTTCGGTGTACTTACCGTGACGACTGTTCTTACTTAGTTATACCCGATGTTCGGTGTACTTACCGTGACGACTGTTCTTACTTAGTTATACCCGATGTTCGGTGTACTTACCGTGACGACTGTTCTTACTTAGTTATACCCGATGTTCGGTGTACTTACCGTGACGACTGTTCTTACTTAGTTATACCTGATGTTCGGTGTACTTACCGTGACGACTGTTCTTACTTAGTTATACCCGATGTTCGGTGTACTTACCGTGACGACTGTTCTTACTTAGTTATACCCGATGTTCGGTGTACTTACCGTGACGAGTGTTCTTACTTAGTTATACCCGATGTTCGGTGTACTTACCGTGACGAGTGTTCTTACTTAGTTATACCCGATGTTCGGTGTACTTACCGTGACGACTGTTCTTACTTAGTTATACCCGATGTTCGGTGTACTTACCGTGACGAGTGTTCTTACTTAGTTATACCCGATGTTCGGTGTACTTACCGTGACGACTGTTCTTACTTAGTTATACCCGATGTTCGGTGTACTTACCGATGACGTACTTGTTCTTACTTAGTTATACCCGATGTTCGGTGTACTTACCGTGACGAGTGTTCTTACTTAGTTATACCCGATGTTCGGTGTACTTACCGTGACGACTGTTCTTACTTAGTTATACCCGATGTTCGGTGTACTTACCGTGACGACTGTTCTTACTTAGTTATACCCGATGTTCGGTGTACTTACCGTGACGACTGTTCTTACTTAGTTATACCCGATGTTCGGTGTACTTACCGTGACGACCGTTCTTACTTAGTTCTGATGTTCGGTGTACTTACCGTGACGAGTGTTCTTACTTAGTTATACCCGATGTTCGGTGTACTTACCGTGACGACCGTTCTTACTTAGTTCTGATGTTCGGTGTACTTACCGTGACGACTGTTCTTACTTAGTTATACCCGATGTTCGGTGTACTTACCGTGACGACTGTTCTTACTTAGTTATACCCGATGTTCGGTGTACTTACCGTGACGACTGTTCTTACTTAGTTATACCCGATGTTCGGTGTACTTACCGTGACGTCTGTTCTTACTTAGTTATACCCGATGTTCGGTGTACTTACCGTGACCACTGTTCTTACTGAGTTATACCCGATGTTCGGTGTACTTACCGTGACGACTGTTCTTACTTAGTTATACCCGATGTTCGGTGTACTTACCGTGACGACTGTTCTTACTTAGTTATACCCGATGTTCGGTGTACTTACCGTGACGACTGTTCTTACTTAGTTATACCCGATGTTCGGTGTACTTACCGTGACCACTGTTCTTACTGAGTTATACCCGATGTTCGGTGTACTTACCGTGATGTCTGGTTACCATGTATATTTTTTTCAATTATTTAGTGGTTTTTTTCTGTTACATTAAGGGTGGTCGGATGGCCGGGTGGCCGGGTGGCGCAGTGATAACGCGTGGTAACCTTACCTTAACCTTTCACCTAGCCGTCCGGGGTTCGATTCCCGGAACGGACGTGAAAAGGTAACGGGTCACCTGCCCGGCCACGTGGGTTTTCCACGGGTACTCCGGTTTCCTCCCTCAATAAGACTCCTCTCGGGCCAACATGAGTGATTAGTATAAACTGAAATGACTTTTATAGTTATCTGATTACATTGTCTATTTTTAATGAAGAGTGATTATTTCTTATTTTGGAACATTTTCTTCGGGTTGGTAATGTCAATAGAATGGAAGTTCTTATAACACAACCAGTAGAAGAATTTGATATAAGCAAAAAGACTAAATGACGAAATACCAAGGAAAGGAAGAACGAAAGTTGTCATCAAAGGCCTGTCAGTGATCATTTAGAGGATTTGCCGTGGTCATAGCGAGAAACCTCACAAGACATTCCGAAATATCCTAGTCTACCCTAAGGATAAAACACCCAAAGAAAACGTCGAAGATTACATATGCAAAATCAGATGCAAGAATTGCGACGCATCATTTATCTGAATAACAGGCAGGAGATTCGGGGTCAGACTCAATGAACATCAAAATGACGCCGAATCCCAAGAAGGCAAAAAATTAACTAGATCAGAGTGAAAACATTCACAGTCCCAGATCAATAAATCTGCACTTACAGATCATTCCACACAGCAAAATCATATAATTGATTGGAAAAATTCCAAAATAGCGACAGAGAAAACAATCTTTTCAGATGGTTTGTCAAGGAAGCCACCTGGATACGCCGCAGCGGGTCAGTACTTAATAGGGACGAGGGGGGCCACAGACTCTCGCTCATCTTTGACCAAATGTTTAAAAATATGTAGCCGCATTGACTAAAGTACATTGTTACCATCTGGTGTATTTTTGTCTATAATTTGTTTACCATCTCGTACACAACATGCGTCAGTGCCAGTACGCTCCACACTGAGGAAGGTGACCGTGTAGTCATGGAAACGTCACCCTCTAGTCTTCTTCTAGTTGATTAATTCTTATTTATTAATGTTAGACTTCTAGTTACCATTTTTTCAGATATCGGATTTTCATAACTTGGAGTGTTATATCTATAAATGTTAATAAATCATAGTGTTTTTTTTATTTCTTGTTAAAGTAGTCTTTGGTGCACAGCAAAAAAAAGTGTAACTTTCTAGTTACTTAATGACTGGAACCAGTAACTGTTATCAAGTTCTTGGTTTCTAAACATTTGATCTTTGAACCCAAGTTATCGAGTGTTTGGTTTCTAGTTACTTTATGTTTGGACTACAGTTGTCGCCTGTTTGGTCTCTAGTTACTTAATGTTTGGACTACATTTGTCGCCTATTTGAATTTTAGTTACTTTATGTTTGGACTACATTTGTCGCCTATTTGAATTTTAGTTACTTAATGTTTGGACTACATTTGTCGCCTGTTTGAATTTTAGTTACTTAATGTTTGGACTAAAGTTGTCGCCTGTTTGGTTTCTGATTACTTAATGTTTGGACTAAAGTTGTCGTCTGCTTGGTTTCTGGTTACTTAATGTTTGGACTACAGTTGTCGTCTGCTTGGTTTCTAGTTACTTAATGTTTGGACTACAGTTGTCGTCTGTTTGGTTTCTAGTTACTTAATGTTTGGACTACAGTTGTCGAATTTTGTTACTTTCTGTTTGGTTTCTAGTTACTTAATGTTTGGACTACAGTTGTCGTCTGTTTGGTTTCTAGTTACTTAACGTTTAGACTAAAGTTGTCGTCTGCTTAGTTTCTAGTTACTTAATGTTTGGACTACAGTTGTCGTCTGTTTGGTTTCTAGTTACTTAATGTTTGGACTACAGTTGTCGTCTGTTTGGTTTCTAGTTACTTAATGTTTGAACTACAGTTGTCGTCTGCTTGGTTTCTAGTTACTTAATGTTTGGACTACAGTTGTCGTCTGTTTGGTTTCTAGTTACTTAATGTTTGGACTAAAGTTGTCGTCTGCTTGGTTTCTAGTTACTTAATGTTTGGACTACAGTTTTCGTCTGCTTGGTTTCTAGTTACTTAATGTTTGGACTACAGTTGTCGTCTGTTTGGTTTTTAGGTATTTAACTCGCATCCCTTTATCAGCATCAGGTCCTGTTGTTGTTTCTGATGTTCTGTAATAGTCGCCAGTTTTATATAATATATATATATAATGATACAAAACGCATATTTCAATGCAACACTCGCTATTCCGCCATGCAATATAGGGTATCAACTTCAAAACCACCTTGCAGGGACACGTGCGTTTTTTTGTTTTTGCTTTTTTCCCCCGATCTGTTCTGTTGAGCATGCAATTTAATGAAGGGGTTAGGTTTGAAAATACGTATAATTATTTACTTAACAAAAGAAACTGAGTTTTCTTTGACTTATAGACTGGCAATGGACGAGAGGGAAATCTTACAAGCGAGTTCATTAAACTCCTCCTGTCACGTACTTCTGTTTTCATTTAATAGTGATTGTTATCTAGTACGATAGAAGCGAGATGGAAGTGTCAGGAGCGACAACTCAGTATACAGCTTCATTTTAGGAGAATACAAGTCAATTGGATTTACCTCCCTTTATGAAAAAAAATCTTCGTCTAAGTGTAATCGTAAGCCTTTCTTTCCAGGGAAATGAAGGTCAGTCGATTTACGATTAAATTCAAATGACAATTTTTGTGCTGTTTATAAAAAAGAGAAACATTATTATTATGTTATATAAACAAATCAAGTTTCAGTTGTCTTGTGCCTCGTTGTTAATAACCATTGCTTTTTAGGCTAAACGTTCTCAGTACGCATAGCCTATTGTTATACGTTGTGGTTTATTTATCATATAATGTATACGTGTTGTATCACAAGATTTTTTCCTTTTTTTTACTGAAAAATGTAATAACAGCGAATCTTGGTATAAATGGCCGAAACGATATTTGAATAACTGTAAAGAAGAAGAGACCTGCGGTAAAGAAATGAAGGCGGTTGTTTATACATTCAGACAAAGCTGTGAACTATTAATCTGCTTTCGGTAAGTACAGTTAGCCGTTGTTACGGACGACAATGTCTACTGACCAGTACCGCTTAATGTCCCATTGGAAAAAACATCGGACCGTTTCAGCCAACACCGGACACTTTCAGCCATGTCTGACGATCATGTTGATTTAATTAATAGATTCAGATTCAGATTCTTTATTAGCAGGAGCCTTACGGCTCATAGGCACAAAAGTAATACATTTACATATAAATATATAATAATATATAATACATGCATGTAGCTTACGCTCACACACCATCCCTCACACACACACCACCTCACAAACACACACATACACACACACACACACACACACACACACACGCTGACATATCGGAGAGCTGAACACATAACATACAGTGAAACCTCGCTATTAAGACCACTTTGGGGACTGGACAAAAGTGGTCTTAACAGCGAGGTGGTCTTAATAGTGAGGTGGATCAGATTTAACCACAAAGAACCGTAACTCTGTTTAAAATATAGAGTATATATATCATTAAGTAATGTACATGTATATTATTCAACAATAATAACTAATAACAATAAACTAAAATGTTGGATTGTATGAAATGCATGTAAAAAAGACAAAATTGCTTAATTGACAGAAGAATAATTATGTATATATTCCTTAGTTTATATCATAATAAACATGTATATTTACTATTGTAAACATTGAATAAAAGGAAACAAACAATCCATTTTAAGTTAAATTGGAATTTAATGTTAATTTTGCAATTATTTCACATAAATTTACGAACACATTTACTCAGTATTTGTAACAACTTTAATGAAGTCACTATAAAGTCTTTCAACGCTTCATTTTTCACTTAAATTCGCAAACACATTATCTTTATCAGTGTATCACTCAGTACAACACATTTTTCTTTTTACTTAAAAAAAGAGTCCGGAGCACAATATTGCGAAGAGCTACGGATCTGGGCAGCCTCCTCTTTCATACGTCCTTTTTACCGATCGCGATAGCTCGTTTCGTTTCCGTGGTTTCGTCATTGGTTGATAAAGTTCATCGGAGTTTTGTGACAGAGAAATGTGTCGTAAAAAAATTGGAACACATATACGTTTTTTTTATTGTTCAAACGATATCGAGAGTGAAACATTACTAGAAAAACAGTTAAAAACCCTCGACAACGTGTGCGCGTGCAAGCCAAGGAATATCGGCCGAAACGACTACATAATTCACTTTTGGGTATGCAGGGCTTTTAAGGTGTTTATAAACCTACCGATCTATCAATATATAATTAACAAACAACAATTATCGTTAATAAGTGGTCGTTGGGACTGTAGGAAGTGGTCGTAATACGGAATAGCGGGGTGGTCGTAATACTGAAGCGACCAATACAAAGATATATAGTGGAAAAAAACGGGACTGAAAAAAGTGCCCGTAATAGCGGGGTGGTCGTAATTTTGAGGTGGTCGTTAGGTGAGGTTTCACTGTACATATATATATAGCTGTATACATGATTTTTTTTTCTTTCTTTTATTCACCAAAAGTCTTAAGACTTATAGGTACAGACTAAACATGATATATTGTACATGTATATGTTATAGGAGAGTGACTATAAGCATACAATACAGCATAATACAGAAGCACAAAAGTTATAAATACATGTAGCTGTAATTAATTAATTACGCCGCTTAGTGGCTAGATACAAATATTAACCTAGATTTGACAACTCTTTGACGTTATTTACAGATAATAGTCGGACAAGTTTGTAAACAGAGGGACTCTTATGATAATACTTCTTTATATATTTTAACCTTAAATCAATATAAAAAGGACATACAAAAATGAAATGAAATTCGTCCTCGACGTCTCCCAAATTACATTTGCTACAGTTCCTATTTCTCCGAATGATATTATTGTGTCTACCAATTTCAATATTCAATTCAATTCAAATACCCAATTCACAATAAAATAATCATTGGATGTAGATTTACAGACTTTAAGAACTTTTTTGCAGAAATGCAAATGGACTCTCTCTGCATCAGGAGCTTTGTGAAACCCCCATATTTCTGCACCATAGCTTAAGATGCTGCTGATATAAGTATCAAAGACATAGCACTGGGTTTCCAGATTCAAACAATGGTTCTTTAAAGAGGCTGATATTGAAAATAAGGCCTTTCTTCCTTGGTCTGCTAAATGCTTTTGGGTTTTATAAAATTTACCATTGTAATTAAAAAACATTCCCAAATATTTGAAATAGTCAACAATTTCTATGCTCTCATTATTATATTTCCACACTTCATTATTTCTTATATTTCCCCCATTTCTAAAAACCATGACTTTCGTTTTATCAACGTTGACTTCCAGATCCCATTTTCTAGAGTAACTTTGTAAAGAATCTAACATGTTTTGTAATGCATCAGGACTATCAGCAAAAAAAACCATATCATCAGCATACATTAGCAAGAAAAGGTTAAGCATCTGTAATTCAATACTTGGACAATTATCATTAATAAAGTTAATTTCAAAATCATTCACATACAATGATAATTAATAGGGATCCCAATTCACTGAACGGCCATTTTGGGGTAAGTTTTCATTGTTTTTATGTTTCTCTCTCCTTTTCTGATATGAAATTTTTTCATCAAATGTAGTAAATATCGATTATTGTTTCATTGGAACATTAACATATTATTACGAGAGAGACGAAATACGAAGAAAAACAGGAAATGGAAATTTTAGATCTAAAAATGATTAATCAATAGAATTTTTGACACTACAATAATGACTTAATAGTGAAATAAGTATTGTCACTGCTTCAGACCACAAACAAATTATTCGCTGAGCAGCATAATTTTTACTTATTGAATTGGTAATGTCGAAATTTGACAGAAGTAACAAAAAACGAAAGACAAAAACAAAATAAAGAATAAGGTTTCATTATTTTGGCGAATGGTAGTGTTTAATACATATATTTCTTGCATTTGGAGTTCGAGTGTGGAAAACACGTGAGGGCCAATCAAAATGTAACTAAGGCAATGTATATCAAGACAATCTTAAATAAGGATAATGTAATTAAACATACTGTAACTAAAGACAATGTAACTAAATATATAAAACTAAAGATAATGTAACTAAATATATAAAGCTAAAGATAATGTAACTAAATATATAATATATAATAAGATAATATAACTAAATATATAAGTAAAGATAATGTAACTAAATATATAAATATATAAGTAAAGATAATGTAACTAAATATATAACTAAAGATAATGTAACTAAATATATAAGTAAAGATAATGTAACTAAATATATATATAAGTAAAGATAATGTAACTGAATATATAAGTAAAGATAATGTAACTAAATATATAAAAGATAATGTAACTAAATATATAAATAAAGATAATGTAACTAAATATATAAGTAAAGATAATGTAACTAAATATATAAATAAAGATAATGTAACTATAATATAAAGATAATGTAACTAAATATATAAATAAAGATAATGTAACTTAAATATATATAAAGATAAAGATAATGTAACTAACTAAATATATATAAGTAAAGATAATGTAACTAAATATATAACTAAATATATTAAGATAATGTAACTAAATATATAAGTAAAGATAATGTAACTAAATATATAAATAAAGATAATAACTAAAGAATGTAACACTAAAGATAATGTAACTAAATATATAAGTAAAGATAATGTAACTAAATATATAACTTAAAGATAATGTAACTAAATATATAAGTAAAGATAATGTAACTAAATATATAACTTAAGATAATGTAACTGAATATATAACTAAAGATAATGTAACTAAATATATAACTTAAGATAATGTAACTAAATATATAAGATAAAGATAATGTAACTAAATATATAACAAAAGATAATGTAACTGAATAAACTATAGATATATATAACTTAAGATGATTATATATTTATTTGCTACTGACTAAAAATCAAAATTAATGTGTTTAAGAAAATTTCCAAGTTGAAGATACCTGTATCTCTCAATACAATGAATATACCACTGAATTGAATAGGTCTATAATTAGTTACAGTTGAATAAAATCAGGATACATTTAAATAGAATATATATATAATATGTTAATGGAGTTAGTGATTTCTTTATAATGATTGAATGAAAACTTCTAAATTATAAGTGATACGTGTTTCTCTCATTATAATACGTGGTATGTATTAATTAATAACATTTTTATTGTACAATACACCACCACCATCACTACCACCACGACGATGATGATGATGATGATGATGATGATGATGATGATGATGATGATGATGATGATGATAATGATGACGATGATGATGATTAATTTCAATATTTCCCTTTTTTACCCAGACTCTACTGTTCAACGATGTCCTTGGTGAGCCCGATGGTACCCACAGTATTGACTGCGTCTGGAAGCTGTCCACATGTTTCGAGTGCTGGAAGGGCCTGTGTTACAAGCTCCTGACGCTCTTCTGCGGAATCTGTATTGCGATGGAGTGGGGCTGCGAGTTCGCCTACATTGCTTTCTATCACGTCTGGTTCATCACTCCATGCATGAAGGTCTTCGAGATCAACTGTGGACTCTGCCAGAAGATCTACACTCTTATCATCAACTGTTGTATTGTACCATGGACGGAGGCTTGTGGGGGAATCTTTGTTCACTTCAAGAGATAATTTTAAATAGCATTAAATATATATATATATATATATATATATGATATTATATACTTAAAATCTGCACGCATGCCCATTTGTCATAACGTCGTTATATTTACTCCGATCCATTACGTCTCCTATTACCGAAGTGTCAAACAAAACACCGACATTAGTACATAAATTCATGTGAGAGAGGCATGTATAGATAAATAATATTGATAAGAAAAATGTCTTTTTTCACTTTCTGTGGTAAAAACAAACCGCTACAAGGCCAGCTTCCATGACGGCATACTATGAAAATCCTTTCATGTCAAAAAACGGAACATATCAAATCATTCAATATTTTAAATAGTATGAAATTTATTGAATACATGACATCTTAGGCACCAACCATTTAGATTCTTAGCATCACTGGTGAGTTCTACAAGGACGAGACAGCCGTATATTTTGCAATCTCATTCCTTAAAGGGCTCTGTTGTAGTTCTAAATTTGCATTGGAAGATGCTCATCACGTGTGTCTTTTCACGTAAATAATCACCAAGACGACAAAAGTTCTAAATAAAGTGCTTTTTGCTTCATGACAAAATCCAATTGGGAATATTTCTTTATTAGGAGCGGTTCTGTAATATTTGGTATAAAAATCTCTCTTTAAATCGAAGTCTTCAGAAAATATATCTGAATGAATTTCGGCCAATAAAAATATTTAAAAGTATGAAACAGTATACTTAATTATTAGACCTAAGCATCACTGATGAGTCCTAGAATGATTAAACAGCTGTATGATGAAGTTTACTTAATTATTAGACCTAAACATCACTGACGAGTCCTAGAATGACTAAACAGCTGTATGACGAAGTTTACTTAATTATTAGACCTAAGCATCACTGAAGAGTCCTAGAATGATTAAACAGCTGTATGAAACAGTATACTTAATTATCATACCTAAACATCACTGACGAGTCCTAGAATGACTAAACAGCTGTATGACGAAGTTTACTTAATTATTAGACCTAAACATCACTGACGAGTCCTAGAATGACTAAACAGCTGTATGATGAAGTTTACTTAATTATTAGACGCTACAAAATTGATATTGGATACGAACAATACCCACTAGGGACAATGCTCTACTCAGACGAACCAAAGTTCCACAAAGCCATTATTATATATTATTTCATTTCTTCTTATCCCAGTGCTGTAATGTGTAACAGACGATTTTCCTTCACGTAAAACAAGGATTGCTTAATCAAGTTCCGGGTACATGTAGATCTCCAAAAAAGGTTCTTGAAATTTCATACTAAGAATGCAAAGTAGATGGAAACTCACTTAGCTATCGCTGAAGTAGCATGCTTTGTTTTAATCAAATTTCACAAATCTGAAATTGGAGGACGATTCATCTAGTGATGAAATAGCCGAACAAAGTTAAAATACTGCTTTGCTTTTAAATCGACGAAGAACGCTAGGCCACGTTTTGTCATTATACGATCATCTACAAACATCTTTGGAATTATGGGAAAGGTTCCAAGATAACCAGCGACACCTACTGTCTGTACACCAGGGTCCTCTTTCCAATCAGCCTCGACATGAGTTGCTGGCTTTGAATTCTTGTATGTGATGCATGGCCAGAACACAATCTGAGGATTGGAGTCCTAGAAGTGTATATAGAATGGTTTCGGATTTAAACGAGTGTAAAGCTGGATATATATCTATAGAGAAATCATTCTGACTAGTTTACGTACGCTGCATCTTGTTTTGATCGTCTCATTTAAAAAGGTCAACCTGTTTAGACCACTATTAAAATCCATTTTCTTGGTTTACTTTAACCCGACCAAGAGGTGTTCTCACAATAAGTCTAAAACACCCAACAGAATTATTCTGAAAGTTTTCCTTTGGTCACTTAATTTTTCGTCGAAGGATAGTCTTTCATACAGACAAGTTTTCATACAGACCAAGGGACACAGTGGATGTGGTGGTTTTATTTACTAACATGTAAGTTTCTAAGCAATTGTGAAATCGTTAGTGCGTTCGGTTGGAGTTGGAAGCAGACATCCCCTTGGCTAATGAATTAACCAACCCATGCATGGACAATTCTGTTTAATAGCGAAACTTTTTACCTCCAAATGTATCATCTTTCGGTCCGACTGTTTCTTGTAGAGTGGTTTGCTGACACGCCAAATATGGTTTGCAAGTATTTCTATATATGTGGACACTGCTTTCTGTGTTAGAGAATGTATTTGTTGTCACCAAGGATAGATTCATGGTTTTTATTTATTCCATCTTTATCACCTAACCGGATGAACATACCTCCTTACTAAAACTCCCTCAAAATTTTACAAAGCTATGAGAAACGGTTCAGAATTATTTTTTTACAATCAATAAAGCTTCATAAGACAAACCATGCTGGAACACTACTGTCGAACTCGAGATAAATGAGAGCGACAATTCCAGATTCTGTGGAGATACACTTATTTATTACAAATCACGAAGGTAATTTACATTGGAAGAGATCAATATGAATATTGATTTTTTCACATTCGCAAAACTTAGGATCAGAAAGTCTCAGATAGGATTCGTTAGTGTTGACGCAATAATTCTCTTCAAGCTTCTGAAACCTATTGTGCGTACCCGCCAGTGTGCACGTGTCAGTTAATAACTCATTATATTATTAACTTAGTATCGTACGTGTACAGCAATGTAAGCTCTTCAATTTTAAATGCAGTATATCGATTCATCTCTATAGCATTCGTACTGACCTTTACGCTTTATCGATTAACAATACAGTACAATGCTAGTATTTTCTCTGTATGTTGGTTGTAAAATCGCGCGACGATAGTGTGACATTAAGGGTATCCTGTCGAAAATAACTGATGTAAAGAGATAGAATTGTTATTTTGAGTTGACATACGAGAGATCGCCATCGTAGAAAGTATAATGAAAAAGTTTTTAAGTGTTACTGACAAAAGTGCTGTCAAGAATTCTCTAATTCGATATCAAACTCCTGAAATGTGGCAATGAATTAACGACTCTCAATTTTGGAGACCAATAAGGCCACGTGAGTGTAAGGAAAGACAACTCTTGATGTAATTATTGTAATAAAATAAATTTCAGTTAAATTTCACAACGATTATACGTAGATAAATATAACGTTTTATTGATAACATATATATATATAACATACGGGTGCAGTGTTATAAAGTGGTTCAACGCTAACATGACATCACATACTGAAGAGGTGTTTGACCCGGAAGTGAATCCTCGTCATATCGATTATACTTTTAAGTATATGAAGCAATTATCTAGTGCCTCAAGATATGGTGATATACATTAGCTCACACTATGTGTACACAGTTTTCTCCTGCATGATCTCACAATTAATGTAAACAATGTTCACTGATATGTTTAATTCCATCGTCTCCTGTTCGCTGATGTCTATCTTTTGAAGTGAACGAAAATTCCTCCGCAGGCCTCCGTACAAGGCTGAATGCAGCAGTTAATGACGAGAGCGTAGATCTTCTGGCAGAGTCCACAGTTGATCTCGCAGACTTTCATGCATGGAGTGATGAACCAGACGTGATAGAAAGCAATGTAGGCGAACTCGCAGCCCCACTCCATCGCAATACAGATTCCGCAGAAGAGAGTCAGGAGCTTGTAACACAGGCCCTTCCAGCACTCGAAACATGTGTAGGACAGCTTCCAGACGCAGTCAATACTGTGGGTACCATCGGGCTCACCAAGGACATCGTTGAATAGCAGAGTCTAGAAAAGAAATTTTTTTTTTCCTTTTCAATTGAACCTCACATTTTCCCTTTCTGAGGTGATCGATACCTAAAACGTGCTCTCCATCTAAAACATAAATGCCCCTCCCTCTCCTAATTTTGCCTACAAATTTCGATGTCCACATTCTAGATACAGATACCGAACATCTGCCTAACCGGAAGTAAGAAATATGTAAGAAAAAAGACCAAAGTCGGTCCGCTCAAAGGGTCGTTGGGAAATATAATATAAACTTTAAAATTCTCAATGTGATGGATTTTCAAATGCATGATGTGAATTTTTTCTAAATAATCTGAGTCAAACATTTAACTAAAATATGACGCAGAGGCTATGTATGGCAAATACTACTAGGAACTGACCAAGGCACACACGCTGGGGCTCTGTACAGTAAACAATACTAGAATGTGACCACGGTACCCTTCTAACTGGGCTGGCGTAGGATGGTGTCTTGTCCTAGTGAAGCAAAATCCCCCATGGGATTTTCCACGGTGTGTCTCCTTGATTGATTGCAGCACCTGTTTTATTCAGCCCTTGTGGATTTCAATGCTCTCCCAACCCTCCTTGCCTATGTTAGTAATCACTTGATAAATATGTGCACCAGTGGTGGATAGGGATATTAAAATTAAAACTGATTTTACATTTAAAGTCATTTTTATAAGAATAAAAACATAGTAAGATCAGCTATATAAAGAAGACAATCGTGAACCAGGAAAACTAAAAGAACTTTGAGAATACAACACATCGGAGATCCACCAAGTACATGTTGTGATACTAACCCCTAAATGAGCGTTAACTCCATTAGGATCCCTGGACACTAAATCCAACTGGTCATCCGCCATATTGATGGTTTACGACAAGTTCTCCCTGGTAACACTTCCGATCAGTACCAACTGTTCGCAGTTAATGACACGGGGCCAATAGACACTAAGTAACTAGGTAAATGTGTGACGTCATCAACGAATACACTAGACCATTGTATTCCAGGGATAGGACCTGCTGGCGGTTATCTATCGGCAAAGCTTCTTAAGTACTCGTTACATTTCCTATTGTTAAAATCATTTCTATGTTTGAGCGGAACAGTTATTGTCATATTTGATATTCTATACATTCTCGCGCACCTCGACATTTTCATTGCATATGTTGGAAACTACGTAACATTTCTATTTTGTTGTCATTAGAAAACTGATTATTATGGTGGTTGATTTCGTCGTTAAACCACGAGTGTGAACGACCGCAAAAGATAT